CCGAGAACACCAATAAACTCGTCAGCAACATAGACACACATATATATTCATGTCATGTATACGATAATATATACATATGTAGGTAACAGAGTACCATGACATTCACCTAAAGAAGCGAACTTTCTGAGGTATAGAGACACCCAGTTGCTCAAATATTGAAACAATGATGTCTTATATACTCATCTTACGTATATGATACTTAATTATGTACATATACTGGTAGCAAAGTACCATGAAATTCACCTAAAGAATCGAACTTTCTGAGGTATGGAGACACCCAGATGCTCAGATATTGAAACAATAGCGTCTTATATACTCATCCTACGTATATAATACTTAAATATATACATGTATATAGGTAGCAAAGTACCATGAAATTCACCTAAAGAAGCGAACTTTCTGAGGCATGGAGACACCCAGTTGCTCAGATATTGAAACAATGGCGTCTTTGAGGGTAATACTGTTGATAACATTGTTGGGGAAATACTTGGTGTACTGAAGTGAAAGTGAAGCGTCACAAACCACCAGCTCCCACATCTTCTTCCCTCTGGCATCCAGAATGGGTCTCGAGCAGAAATCCAGCTCCCACTCTGTAATGCTGCTTGGATCGGTTTCCGGGTCAAGGTAACTCAGTTCTGCAGTTGGGTCATCTTCAATTTCATCGAATTCCACTTGTTCTGGAACTGAGAGGGAGCTTTCGGGTAATGATTCGGGTCGATTATGGCGTCGGGTCAGTGAGATTTTCGAGGGGAAGAGAGGGGTTTTGGAGAGATTTGAGAGAGAAAAGAAGTTGGGAGTGATGGGTTTGTGAGGTTGGAGCGGTGCAGTTGTGTTGATTCTTGTGGGATTGAAGGTTAGAGTAGTAGCCATGGAAGCTCTGCGGAAAAAGCTCCACGACATGCTAGTTATCTACAGAACATGTATTTTCTTGTTTAAACAAAAAGATGTCAACCGGGTTAGACGGTTCAATTAAAAATATTAAATGAAATAATAACTGATTTTCCTTTGGTATTTTTTTATTAAAAGATATACAAAATAATTTTAAATATTAAAGGAGTTAATTATTTAATTTCCTTGACTAAATTTATATAAAAATTTGATCAAATATTTTTTTTTTTAAAATAATTTATTCGTAAGATATAATTGTACGACATCGTTAAAATATTTTTGTGAAAGAAACACGGTCGCGTGCATGCCTAAAACTGTTGTTTATCAATCTACACGTAAATTTTGCTCAAAACTTTTACTATATTCTTATCACTAAAGTGTTTAAGTGAAAAAAATACGACCGTGTGTCTACCAAACACGATCGTATCGTCTCTACAACAAGAAAATCAACAGAATGCCAAAAAAAAAAATAGTACATAATATAACAAAATTATATAAAAATTAAGCTAAATTCAATAAAAAAATTCTACATTTAATTCAACATTAATTTATATGATTGTAAAATAATTTTATTAATTAAACTAATTAAATGAAATTTCATCATGTTATACACATATATAATTCATGATTTAAATAAATGAATTAACTATTATAATCATTTATTATACAAATTAAATTCTAATATAATTCATTATTATTATAAAACCAAATATTGTTGAAAAATTCATAATTGGATAGAAAATTATTCGATATTTTCCCTCTTCTTTCTAAATTATTTGCAATTTGTGTAAATTCATACACGTAATGCTTAAAGTAGTTATTGCAAATTATCAAAATAGAGCTTTCTTGATCACTTCACATAACATTCATTACATTCTGCTTCACAACACCATTAAAATGAAGGAGAAAACAAGCTTTCAATTTTCCCATTCAAATTCCAAGTTCCAGTTCCTCTAGAAGAAAATGTATATACATATGTATATGTAACTAATCATCTTCATCAACGTCAATAACATCAAAATCAGAATCATCACTGGCCTTTTCACTCTCAGAGTCGCTCACCACATATTTTACCCTTGTACGGTTTCCTCTTTGTGGTCTTGGTCTTGCAGGGATCACCATTTCAGAAGCTTCAGAGTTTAGGGAAGAAGCAGAACCCTGCAATTCTCCACTTTCACTTGTCTCCTGCTCTGAACTAACTTCGCTTAAAACAGAACCACTTTTCTTATTGAATGGAGATGCTCTCATCTTCCTCATTTTCTTCTCTGGAGAAACCCCTGGGTTTTCTGCAGGCTTCAACATTTCTGTTACAAGCTTTTGACCTAATCCCTGAGACTTCTTGGTGGCTGGGCCTCTCTTCCTTGCTGGTGCCGGGGGCTTAGCAGCAGCTGCCTTGGATTTATTTGCAGCTGGTTTCCTACCTCCCTTCTTTCCTGCTGCTGCAGGGGCAGCTACCTCAATGTCATCTTCTGTTTGTTGGGTTACTTCAGGTTCTATAGCTATAATACAAACAATATTGTTTGTAAGTGACAACTTGCTAGCAGAATATCACTAATCCTAAGAGTCTGAAGATACTTGAAAAAATAACCAAAATGTATCTTTGAAGGACAACCATGTGAGGCAACTGTTTTTCTCATTTGGATGTAAGGAGGGAAAAATGAGCTTACAAATAGAACGGTCTGAAGAGGAGGAGGAGCTAAAATTGTATCGAGCAAGCCGTTGAGCTAAATCAAGCATCTCTTCTTCCTCACCCTCCTCCTGGAAATAGGGAGAATTGACGTTATAAGTCTGGAAGGATCAAAATTTCAAAATGGAAGGTAGAAATAAAACAGACCTTCTCTGGAGCAGGGGGCGGCTTCTTAGAGCCTGCTCTACCTCTTGGTTTAACGACCTCGGGAACTTTATCTGAAAAAAGCAAGCAAGAAAGAAAAATAAATAGTTAGGTGGGAAAGAAAGTTGTATTAAAAATTACAATTATTTCAGGTTCACCTGTTTTCATTGCAGTACCAGCTATTCCAACATTCTCTGCTATTTCAACATCATTGATTTTTTTGTTATCCTTCCTTGGCTTTTTCGCGGCTGCTTGTTTACGAATCTTCTTACCAGATCCATTTCTTAGTTTATTCTGCATTTCCTTTCTAGCCTCCTCTGCTTGAGCATCACCTTTGTCCAGATTCTGAAACAATACAGAAAATGGTCAACAATCACTTGCATTGAGGTTCTAAAACCAAGGACTCAAAAGGCAGAACAAAAAAGAATCTAAATGAAAATTTTTTTTCTTCTACCCACATCAAGTTCCTTCTCAAGAGCATCCAAATCTTTAACCCACAAAGTCTTTGGGGTTGCCCTTCGCAACTCCTCTACTTCCTCATTCATTTTGTCCCTGCAAGCACATAACTCCTGCACTTTCTCAAGAGTCAAGGTTCCAATTGCCAACGACAGCAAATAATCATAATCTGTATCAGGTACAACACTATAGCCGGCTGGCTCCTCATTCTCTTCAGCTTCTTCAGTATCACGGCTTGCCCCAGCAACTACTGCTTCAACCGACTTGCATCTTTTTGGATAAGGAGTGAAACCTTTTCTTTCCAACTCCAGAAACAAATCAGCTTTCTTTCTATTGCTCACAATGATGTCTCCACTCACAACTGCAAGTATAAATCTAACTTTGTTTTCCAATTTCAACAACTCCATCTCAAGATTTTCAAGAAGAACTTTCTGCATAAATCATATAGAAAGGGAAGTTTCAGTCACATCTTGGTTCTAGAAGAACAGATGAAATCTTCAAGGAAGGCTGACAATTTCTAGCGGCAAAATGACATTTACCTTTCTTTTCTCATAAAATTCAAGCCTAAGGTGAAAGAAATCTTCTAGAACTGAAAAGAAAGAGATGTCAAGCATTAGTAAAACAAACAAATCAGTTTTCATAAAGTAAACCTTATCAACTTCCATGGTTATAGGCTCATACTTTGCTCTGGGGTGTCATATTTCTTAATTACGCCCTTTGGATCAAAAAGGTGCATGTTACTCGTACTAATTGTTGTAGTGAGCTTAAATTTCTTCAGCAAACCCTCTTGCTTGGCAGCCATCATGTTCCCCTCTGACATGATAAGCTCAAAATCCACAGTTGTATCATCACTGTACTCCTTGATATTCTGCAACAAGGAGGATTTACCTATGACAAAGAAGCTACAGGCACTACAACACAACATGTTGATATATGGTTTTTACCTGTATGAATGGTCCACTATCTGTTTTAAGGGAACGTAAATATTCCCTAAAGTCATCGGTCCACCTTCGAATTGGTAGCTCTCTGATGCGAAGTGTTGTTTCATCTACCTCTTCTATGATTCCAGTAACAGTGTACGTAACTCCACCCTCCTTGGTTGCAGATTTTTCAATTGTTCCTTTAAAGCCTCTGTACCAAGGATGCATAGGCACCACTTCTTCACCATTCAATAAGCGTCTAACATTAGCAACAATCTCTCTTGGGTTAAAATTAGGTATATAAGAACTCCACCCAGTTCCAATTCCTTCACTACCATTGACAAGAATGGATGGTATGATTGGTATATACCTGAATTATAGCACATAAGTTAGAGATTAGCAAAACTTTTACAAATCATTTCCTGTTTCTTCCCTTTTAATATTGA